TCAGCCCGAAACTTTGGCGAGAAAGATCCATGCTTTCCTGTTGTTTACTTTAAATTTTTACCTTTCCATCTGAAAGTTGCAGCGGAAATTGAGAGACGTCAGACCAGTCGAGCAGGTGTAGCTAGTGAGGCGACCAGTGAAAGTAGATTTATATTTTGTCCAATTTTTGTTTCTTTGCTGACAAATGATACATTTATTTTGAATAATTACAACCGTATCTGTGAAACTTGCCGATATTTGAGTTTCATTAAATTTTTTTTACCATTCATATCATGATTAGATGTAATCACAGCGTTGCTTGTCTGGCTCTGAGCTACATTAATGACCAGCGCCGTAACAAATAAACACACAAAACACACAACACAGTTATTTTCTAACCTGACTTTTAACTAAAAAATAACCAATCCTCTGTTAGTTGAAGTTGTTTATGCTGTGCTTATGTTTTATGTGTTTGGTATTTACATATTGTGCGTGTGTGTGTGTGCGTGTGTGTGTGTGTGCGTGTGTGTGTGTTAGGTGGTTGACGGTTTCTTTGTGAAGAGAGTGCAGGATGTGAGGGAGTCAGCGGCGTACCTCACCATCATGACAAGATTCCTGACTAAACTGTACCAGGTAAACACAAAAAGATACATGTTCCAATTTTACATTGTGGAGTTATGTAAGGGCGACATGAGAGAGCCCAATATTTTAATCACACAGCTGAATATTCAAGGCGTGAAAACTCACAGGGTGTGAGTGGAGCCACCTAGTGGTGCACCCCCCTCCCAACACCCAGTAGGGTCTCCTATTAGTCCAGGACCCTGGGCTTAAGCAAACGGCTGAACCTGGGAGGCAGAGAACTGGTAGAGGGAGCTCTGTCCTGAGAATGAGGCTGGTGTGGGCGGTCAGGAAAGGCATCTTCAACACATATAGTCTCCCTACGACGAGTCTCAGACGCATGGTGTCCTATGGGCATCGTGCCTGACGAAAACAAACTTTCTAAAGTCTTTTGGGCAAAGGTGTCAGGCAAGCAATGGTGTACCAGATCAGGAGCACGAAGCAAGTCCACTTAAGGGGTGGAGGGACAACACATATGAATCGAAGCACTGGGGTGGGGGCACCAAGATCCTCCTTAACGGCAGAGCGCAGCCCCAGCAAAAGCCCACTGGAGGTGGTCCAACCCAGTTGCCATCTGTTAGAGAAGCATGGAGCGACCTGTGAAACTGCTCGCACATCCTGTGAGCTTGTGGGTCATATGCAGAGGTGCGGTGGATCCTGACCCCCCGGCCGTCAGTCATGGCAGATTAAAGCTCTGTAATGAACTGAAACGCGAAACCCAATTTGTCAAAAATGCCCTGGACACCACCGCCGCAGTTGTGGATGCCAAGGGGACCACCTCTGGCCCCTGGGTGGTGCAGTCAACCACAGTCAAAAGGTGCATGAAACCTTGCAACAGTTTCATCCTCGTTTCCCACTGTGTTGATGCTGGTACATCTGAATGTATGCTGTCACATTGAGATTAGGCAGCACCAGTTTCCACCTGTGCGCACGTCTCTACTGCATAACAACACTTGTTAGTTGGGCCATGAGGATCATGTTACTGTTAACATAACATAAAATCAGCCTTACATCTTTCTTAACTGTAACTTTCTTCCTGTTTAAACCTTTTTCAGAACCGAACGCTGATCTGTCGCTCCAGAGAGCTGGAGGGCGATGGAGGCAGTGACGAAGAGGAGAGAGGGCTCCCCTCCTGCTCCCTTATGTCTTTTGCAGAGTTCAACCACGGTGCAGTCAAAAACAAGGTGTGAATCTGCTTCAAAAGCCTGAATTAAACTGGTTGTCTTGGTGATCGTCTCTAATCCTGGCTTCACTCTTTCTTCCCCTGTAGTGTCAGACGGTGAGAGAAGTGTTTGCCAGACAGCTGATGCAGATCAGCGGATTGTCTGGAGACAAAGCAGCTGCTATACTGGAACACTACAGCACGCCACACAGGTAGCTGGTAGTGTAGTATACTGCATACTCCACAGCTCACCGGGGTTCCTGATTTGCTTTTATCTTAAGTTAACAGCCAAGAGAGAGACGAAAAATAAAGACCAGGAGGGATTATGATCTCCAATAGTTACAGTTCCTTATCTATTGTCGCTGCCTGTTAGATTAGGGCTATTTCCTCCTGTGCATCATAAAGAAGTGTACAATCAAATCAACAAGCAGCTTTAATCCGTTAACATTTTAAATGATGACCAGTGCGGCCGTCTGCCACCAGGTGGAGCTGTTGTAGAGAATTCTGTTAATTTGTTAATCTAAGCCTGATCTTTTTATTATTTGTTATTAGTTATTTTGAACGTAAAAGAACGAAATCATGGAGACAAGCGGCAGAAATGAGCTTTCTCCAAAGGGTGGCTGGGCTTTCCCTTAGAGATGGGGTGAGGAGTTCAGTCATTTGGGAAGGGCTCAGAACGGGTGGATGGATGATCTATTGTTTTGTTATCATTTCAAGTTTAAATTTTTGTTGAGGTAGTTGCCACATTTTAATAATACGTCTTTTGCATTACTGCATTTTCATATCATATCGTTTAGTGTTTGGCTTGTTTTTCTTCTTCTTTGTTTGGAGTGTATTGTGCACATCTGTAATCGGCACAGATTTAATTGATCTCTGATCAGCAGGCAACTTGTTCCAGAAAAAAAACACACTAACTGAAAGCACCCTCAGGATATGTGGATCTGATTGCATGAATATTTAAAAGATCTGCACCTGATGTTCAAAAATATCAGTATGGCAGTAGGCTGAGTGAATAGAGTGGCCACAGAACAAAATAACTAAATACGTCATAAGACACACTGTGTCTCCATACTAATGTACGATATGAAGGATTATTTATTAAATTTTTGTCTTTTCTGTCATTTTCAGTCTTCTGACAGCATATGAACAGTGCACAAGTGAAGCAGAGAAAGAGAAACTCCTCTCCTCGATCCGATACGGGAAGCTCAAAAGGTTTGTAAATACAGTTTCACATTTTTTCCTGGCTTCTTCCAGTGGTGTGTAGTATTTGAGTGTGACCAGAGATGCCAGGCCTGAGGAAGGGGCTCGTAGGCAGAAATATGGCTGTGGCAGGAGTTTGGAGAGGCAATGGAATAAAACTTTTTGTCAGTCTCGAAGTGATTCTGACAGACATGTCAGGAAGGGAAAGAAGCTTCCTGCCCATGCTGTGGTATAGTGGATGTGATATGAAGTGCCCTTTGACTGGAGTGGCGTTCTCCATTTTGGAAGAAAGGGGACCGGAGGGTGTGTTAAGCAAGATCAGCTTTGATGGGAAGGTCTGTGGCAGGGTGCTGGATCGAATAGTTCAACCTCAGCTTCAAGAAAAAAAATGTGGCTTAAATTCAGAGCCAGTCTGCATCTGTTTTGCAGACGTCGAGAAGATATTTGACCTCTCACGGTACTTTGCAAGTATAGAATATCTGACTTTCTGATCCCTGTACAAGTGTAATAAGAGCTTTGTTCAGATTGCCGGCAATAAGTCGGACCTGTTCATGGTGGACACAGTGGAAAAATAATTATTACGCAACTGGATTAGCATGGCTGTGGAGAGAAAGGTAGCGATGGAAGAATTACAAGAGAGGTTTAATCAATGTCATGAACTTCCAGTGTTGATAGTTTGACCACCACAAACCACTACAGTACCTTGGGTGTGTGTGTGAATGCTTCATGCTTTCTCCTGTTGGCTTGTTTTTCAGGAACCTGGGTCCAGCTTTGAGCAGAACAGTTTATCAGCTCTACTGTACACAAGGAGCTCTGACATGAAGGCGGCCCTGGAGGTGGTCCCAAAGTATGCTCAACAATGTGAATTATACCGTCATTAACTTTTAGGTCCTCCTTTACTTGAACAGCATCATTGAGTATGATTATGTAAAAGTGTATATAAATGTCAAGACACTGCTATATTTTGATGTTAATAAAAGATTCCTGTTTGAAGAAGTTCACACGTCCCATTAGTGCACAAATAAAGTTCATTTTAAATAACACTGTTAACTTTTTCTAGTCAGAATCCAAATCCAGTGCCCAGACGCTGAAGTCTTAAAGCTGTAAGCCAGCTTGCACCTTTCCAGCTTGTCCAGCGTTACTGCTCAGACATTCGTGCACACTAATGGGAGTGGAGCCTGCGTACCCCAGGAGGTCTTCAGGAGCTGCTATTACCTGATAAGATCTTTTAACACATCAAACATGAAGTTAACCTTGATTTGAAAACTGCATTTCTGAGCATGGTAAGTATTAGATTGCTACACGGCCACAGGTTTTATCGATGAGTTTACTCGCTGCTGGTGAAATTAAACTATTAAAACTCATATCTTTGTACAGCTGTCTAATATGGGCGATGAGGTCTTTTTTTTCTTATCGTCTTTATCTTGGGGCATCTGTTGTTTTGAATTTGCGCTATTAAAATGAAATTAAATGATTGAATTTCTTAAGGACGTAACTACGGATACCGCTCATCAACTCTAGTTTTTTTTAGGCCTGTTGCTTCTTTTGTCCTTCACTTACCAAATTTTCTCAAACTTTTTAAGGACACACCAATGCTGACACATGCTACATCAACAAGGGCTCTTTGGGAATCAACATGTTGGTGCAAAAATACTTTTATTCCTGGTAAACTGTGTCCTCTTTACCATTTTTTAATAGAGTAGACTAAAAAAAAAATAAGGACAAATGTATTTTGTGATAGGCTGCTGGTGAAGATCCTAAAGATACTACTAGTTCTTTGCTAGGTTGTCTGTTATGTGTAGACTCAACACTGGGTTATTAGACTGAAAATATCCAGAGAAACACTCTAAAAGACCTTCAGAAAGCCTCAAGACTGCTTTAAATTTTATAAGAAACTCTGGCTCCTTGGAAGTAAAGTACACAGTACTGCACAAAGTCTACTGTATGTAACAGCTGTATGTCAGCAGACATCAGTCACTGAATACTTCTTTTTTTCCCATGGACCTCCGGACCAAAAACAAAACATGATGTGACATCGCTCTGTCTTGTGACAATGGAGTTTAATCCCAGAAAACAATGAATATCATATTTCAGTGTCAGACCCATAGAATCGATCTCTGACATTCACCCACTTTACAGAAAGAAGTCAATCAGTGATCCAAGAGGCAGAGACAGACTGCTGCATGCTGACTGAAGCACCGTTAGACCAGAGCGCAGCACGTGAAACGTTTGTGGCACGATCACAGTGAAGAATAATTCAGGGCTGGATTATTTTCTCAGTTTAATTCTGAAATAAATATACAGACAACAAAAACCCGGTATGTTTAGTGACACCTGACAATCCCCCAGCAATGACGAGAAGAAAAGGTAATGGCAGCATAGAAGGGAGAGTTTAAAAAAAGAAGAGGAGGAGGGGAGGGCACGCTGTCTTTATCTCCTGAACAGGTCAAGATTTTTATTTTCACGGTTTGACTTAATGCAGATATGTGTTAGCTTCTAAACTCTGCTCAACTCTTTACTTCTTCAATCAAAAACCCAAGCTGTCAGTTTAATGTTAAGGATGCTACATCACCTTAAAATTGCAGTCACACAGATTGCATTCATAAGATTGAGGATGGTAGAAAGACTGCACAGCCAATCAAAAATCAGGAGTGCATGATTGACGTTTACTTTTTTTACCCCCACCCACTCTCGTCACCGCTATGGTCCCTAACTTGACAAGTTGTGTTATTTACAAAAACAAAAAACCAAACAGGAATAGAAAAATCCAACAAGTCAAACTGGGTTCCTCCTGGAACATAGTAACAAAGTGCTATTTCCTTTTCTTTTTAAAGAAAAGATGCTTTTTTTTCCCTTCAAGGGTAGTCTTAAAGCAATGCTTGCAGAGTGCACGAACGCTTTGGAAAACAGAACTTTACTCTTTCCTCCTGTTTGGGGTGGCTGTGAAGAAGTTTCCTCTTAGCCGAACTAATTCGTTTAAACAACTTGCATGTTTGGGGCAGAGTATTGGAGATCGTGTAGTTTTGCACAGCCCTACATATAAGCCCCGTGAATCTTTTCTCCAAATGTGCAATCAGAAAGCAGCCCAACAGCTGCTTCAATGCACTGACACACAAGTATTGCTCCAAGGCAGCCCTGAACAAAAAAGATAGAAAGAAACTTTTCCTCTGAGCCCCACACCCTTGTTTTTTTTTTTTTAAACACCTAAATGATGAAGAGAGAATTTAAAGGACAGGGTTACACTGATCCCTGTAAGGAGTCTCTCCAATGGTCCCCGTCACAAACCCAAAAAGTGTTGATTTTGTTTTTGACATCCTCTGAACATAAAGCAAAGATCTACAGCAGTTCAGAGCGAACATTTAAAGTCTACACGTATCCAGTTCTCACTGATGTCAGCCTGAAGTTTAGATCCAATAGAGTCTTGGATGTTGTTGCTCCAGCGAGAGATGAAAAACAAAGCTGTCCCTTCGTGGGTTCCATGATTTCACCCTTTAAAGGCAGCAAGTCAGGAGGACAGCGGGGATCTTGGATCCATGCCGTTTTAGTTCAGGTGGATGGCCCGTGCTGGGCATGCTGATGCACAGGGGGGGCCAAAATCCTTCAGTGGAGAGTGGATTTAAAACAAAACAAAAGAAACAGTCTCTGAAGCGGTTTTGGCTTTATTAGTTCGGCACCCACGACTGCTCATGCTTTGACCCGCTATTAGTCCGGCATGTCGATGCAGAGTTTGGGTGGCGGGACGAAGTATTTCCCGGGGCTCTGCGTGATCACCACGCCGGTCTTCTTGTGGAACATGGGGGCAATCTTTGGCGGCGGTTCAGGGACGGGCAGATCCTCGGCCGCCTCGGGGTCCTCGCTACGTTGAAGGTCGTAGGACACGTTGCCGTACTCTCGCAGGAAGGGAAGGAGCTCCAGCAGAAAGTGGCAGAAGTCCTTCCGGATGCCGAACCACCCTGATCGGAAATAAGGACGGAGCAGAAGAGAGAAACAATGAAAAGCTTTTTGATTTGCAAACAAAGTTTAATATTATTAAAATATGACCACATAAATAATTAAAAGGAAATTTAACCTCCTCTAATTTACTCTCAGGTCAATCAAAAAGTCAAAATATAATCTTTTCATTTATTTTTCCTCACATTTTACAGACCAAATGATTTACAGAACCAGCAGCTTCATAGAACATTATTTGCTGGAGTCCGAGAAATGACAAACATCGAAAGATAAAAGCTTTAATGAAGCTATATTAAGGGAAAGTTTCTGAAACAACAGCAGCAGCAGGGACCACAAGTCCAGCTGCAGATACTCACAGTGGTTTCCTCCCTTTTGGCCGAAGGTGGTGGCCATGAGTGTGAGCAGGGAGAGCCACAGAGGGACAAACACGCACACGTAGCTCAGGCTGTTGTGACCGTCTAGCTTGTGCACCAGAAGGATCTGTAAAGACATGTGAATGTTATCAGACATCCTGCTGCTGGGAG